GCCTAGGAGTGTTCTTGGTGGGGTGGGATTTAGCTTTTGCATTTTTGCTGAGCTTCTTCCTCTCACTCTTATCCAGGCCTCTCCCTGTTCTCTTACTGGGTCCCAACAGCCATTCCTGGAAGTTATCCTAGATGTCATCTCCTACCCCTACACTCCCTTGGGACAGCCCTTCTCTCTTTATCAAATATCCCCATCAATCCAGAGTGTGGGCATGGGAGCAAGGCCCAAGGACCCTACCCTGAAGTCTTCTCAACCTTACTTTAGTCCCATTTGGCCTCCCACTCAGAGCAGACTGAGGACCCTTAGCTACCTCTGTCCTGAGTCTCTTCATGGACACTGTGACCCCCAAACTGCCCCCCCAGGCTAGCATGTGGCAGATCCCCAAAGCTAGAGGACCCAGAAACCTTCTACAAGGGTTCTCCCAGGCCCTGGATTGATTAGGGGGCTGTCACTCATCTTTCCTATGATGGCAGATTGTCAGGGGTTAACCCTGCCCAGGTCCAGAGGAGGCATGGCTATTGGGTTTTTTTTCAAGTAGTGATGCAAAGGGAAGGAAGGGCTGGAGGACCCCCCTCCTCTCCTGTACACCAGCAAGCTGTGCCCCTCCATAGCCTCAGGAATTTTCACTTACCATCTCCTTCAGCTACCTCTGGGCTTTCTTGGGGTTCATCTCCAAGGTGGCAAACATGGAAACCTGCCAGGGTTGAGGATAGAGTCAGAGAAGACTTCTTCCCCACACTCTGCAACCCTAGAGGACTCTGACCATGGGCCCACAGGCTGATGCAAAATCTCATACTACCCCTGCATACTGATTATAGATCAGGCCCCTCCTCTAGTGCTCAGTTGTAGGGACCTTGGGGTGGTCTGTCTCCCTGAGTCTCTTTCCTCATCTGCAAAGTGTACACAAAGTACATCTTCCATATGGACATAGAAAGGACTGTCACTTTCCTGCCATTGATGCTATACTGACTCACCCCTCTGCAGTACATCCCTAGTGAGAGCTCCTTTGCTCCTTGGATTTCTGCTCCCAGGGAGGGCTGGGTATACAGTGGGTGAGATGCCCCTACTCTCAGTCAAATGATAAGGGTAAAAAACCAGAACTTTTCAAGCATAAGTTGAAGATTTTAAAATGCATTTAGACCTAACTAAAAGAGGTTGGAAGAAAATAGATAAGTACAGACACTAGAAGGTGTGGAGCCAGATCCCACTGCCCTGGAGGAGGAAGTTGCTCCCATAAAGTCTGCACAAATTACTCAAGACCTGAAGAACTTCAAAGCAGAAGAAATGCAGAGTTCTGAGGAGCAGAACATTCTTTGGGCAATATCATTTAACATTTATTTAATTGGCTAAAATTAAAATGTATAACAAAACCTAGTGCAGGAGAGGATATAGATCCCAGGATCTTGTGTACATTACCAATGGAAGGGAAAGTTATTTCAAATAATTTATAAAGCTAATTGGCATAATCTCCTAAAATTCAACCTTCATGTAACTTTTGCTGCAACAATTCCACCTATGTACCCATAAGAATCCTTTGCACACTCATAAACAAAATTAACAGCACTGTACTGCATTGCATGATCCCAATGTCAACCATTGGGATTAATTTTAAATTTTAAATAATGAGCTCTTTAAAATTAAACATTTAAATCCCAAAATAGAAATTTCAATATAATAATAATAATCCCAATGTCAACCAACAGTGTGGTCCATGAATGAACTGTGTTTCAGTAATGTAATGCAAAAGTCTATAGCAATCATGGTCATGTGTAATGATACAGATAAGCTTTAAGAAAATAGTATTAAGTGAAAAAATCCCTAATACATTAGAAATCATATAATACTCTTTTAATAGAGTTAAAAGACTAAATGGAAAAGTAATATTTAAATGATACTTACAGATGCAAATAAAATCTTATAAAAGGAAAAGAATGAATGAATGTGGAATTTAGGATGATGGTTACCTTGGGTGTGGGAAACTGAGATCTGGGTAGGAGAGGAATGGGTGAGAACTACATAGGAAAATAAATATTATTTTGAATAATGTATCTTTTCTTTTGGGTTTACAGGTGATTAAAAATATTTCAACTGAAGGACACCAAGAGTGCAAAAGCAAAATAAGAAAACATAAATTTATTTTTTTCAGAAAATAGAACATGTTAAATATTTAAATAATTTGTGTGAAAAAAGAATATTCAGATGTCAAGAATGAGCTCTTTGGGCTGGGGATGTGGCTCAAGCGGTGGCGCGCTCGCCTGGCATGCGTGGGGCCCCAGGTTCGATCCTCGGCACCACATACCAAGAAAGATGTTGTGTCCGCTGAAAACTAAAAAATAAATATTAAAATTCTCTCTCTCTCTTTAAAAAAAAAGAATGAGCTCTTTAAAATTAAACATTTAAATCCCAAAATAGAAATTTCAATATAATGATGGAAAAGCAGAAAGTCAATGACATTTCTGACAAAGTCAGAAACTTGAATGAAATATAATTCTAGATAAGCATTCCCAAAATTTCTCTGGCATATTCTATATACATCTCATTCAGTTTCTACAGTCAACTGTTTCTTCCCCACCTGCTTTCCTATAGATGTTATAAAAGTGAAAATCTAAAATCCCTGGTCTCCCAGGTTGATAGGTTAAAGATGAAGGAAATTTGTGTCCTGATGATACCACAGGAAGACTGAACCAGCTCTAGGACTGCCTATCTCTGAACCTCTTATATGAAACAATACTAAAAGGAGGTGCTACAAAAGCAAAGGAAGGGGGTGCTACAAAAGCAAAGCAGAAATCAAAAATGAGTTCTATGTCAAGTTATACCTATCAATCAAACACGGGAGTAGGATAAAGGCATTTTTAAATACAAAACAACACAAAAATTGAATTTCCATGCATTCATTCTTGGGAAGCAACAGAAGGATGTGCTCTACTAAAATGAGGTGTGTAACCCAGAAAGTAAATGATGAGAGACCCTAGCAAACAAGAGCTTGACACAGGAAAGCAGCATAGAAGTCCAGAGGATCATCAACCAAAAGCCAGTTCCAGGAAAACTATACAACAGACCTAGAAAACAAGAAGACCAACAAGTACATGAGGGAAAAAGTACAGAAGGCTTCAGAAGGCAGGAGAGAGCCATGCAAATAGAGAGAAACAGGACAAAAATGGGGCGATACACTAAAGTAACCATGGGTCTCGTGGTTGATAAATGTGGAGGATAAAGGAAAAGGGACAGTTATAGTATCTCTAGAGTCAAAAGGCACAAAACTTGGTGGTACTGCTGACCCAACCAGAGGAGGGGATTTGGTCATGTTGAGTTTGAGAAGATGACAAGTGAAATGTGTGAGGATATTTTCTCCAGGACGCTAGAATGTAACTGTCAGATCTGGGTTGGTTAGTAGCACATCTAAGGAAGTTGATCTACCTATAGATTACATATATCTTTAGATCACTGAATTTCTGAACATGGCCAGGTTTTCTAAGAGGAACAGGGAAGAGTGGATCAAAGACTGAAGTAATACCCATAATTAGGGAGTATATGGGAAGAAGAGGACAAAATATTAATATTTCAAATAGAGATCTAGAGTTCATTAGCCAAGCCACATATACATACACATATACGTATGATGCCTATAGCATACATACATATATGAATGAGATGTCTATAGCATATATACATATATGTGTATATATATATTTTTAATTAGAGTGGTAAAAACTTAACCAAAGCCAAGAGGAAGTGGTAGAACAGTGATAAAGACAGATAGCCTCTAGCAAACTGACAAACCAAGAAAACTCTTATCATTTTGACATTTCCTCTAAGTAAATAAAATTAAAGCAATATCAACAGTTGTGTCATTACCTTAATAATAGCACCTTTTTCTCCATCAACAGGGTTTGATTTGAGTTCTTCAATTTCTTTCTTCAAGTCTAAATAATTTTTAAACATTCCAATTCAGAAATGAAAAAAAATAATTACTAAATTGATAAGTACATTCTTTTAAAAACCCTTCAAAATTTACAAGTTAGAATATATTTAAAAAGTAGGCACTTTGAGAAATATTAACTTGACCCACATATAATGAGTAGAGTATTATATATTTTTTCGCCTTTATTATAGGAAACTTCAAATAGAAAATAGTATGACTGATATCTATGTACCCATCACCCTGCTTTAGCAATTATCACAAAGCCAATTTTGTTTCATCCCCAATAGCACTCATTTCCTCCTTCTGCATTTTTCTTACCTGTCCCTCAAATTTTCTATTTTAATTTCAAACATGGTCTCCCTATGTTGCCAAGGCTGGTCTCAAACTCATGGACTTAAATGATCCTCCTGCTTCAGCCTCCAGAGTAGCTGGAACTATAGCACGCACAACTGTGCCTTGCTATCTTGACAATTTTTAAACAAATACTGGACATCATATTATTTCAGTTGTATATACTTCTTATTGTGTAACCTTATAGGAACAACTAACCTCATATTAAGCATAAATGTTAACCTGGATATTTTATCAATACATGTCTAGCTCTGGCACCTTGAACACCATTTAAAATAAATTATTCTCTTAATTACAAGCAGATCCAACTTCTAAAAGATAATTTGACCTTTTCTGATTGAAAATGAGTCTTGGCTTTTAGGCTGGGCAGTTTACATTTTTAAGTCATTCAAAATTCAAGAGCTTAGCCACTTATACTAGTAAAGGATACTAGCCTCTATTTCCTTTTGGAAACAGGAAGAAAAGGAAATGGAATGAGAATAAACCAAATTCCACAAATATATACACTTGAGATTTCCAGGAATGGCAATCTTTTATTATTACTTCACTTGAGGACTCTTAGTATGTCTTTGGTTTTACAATTTTGTGTCTCTAACATTTCAAATGACTTCCCTAGAAAATACACTTAACTCAGAAGCAATTACAATCTATGTGAAGGAAACAAGCGTTTAACTTTACAAAAAAATTTAAAAAATAGTCCTTCCTCACTTTATTTTCTGCAATTTAGACATGTGAAGTTAAACAACAACAACAACAAACCCACAACGAAACAGAGGTAAATGGCTGGAATTTTAAGTAGTGCGATTTCACTACAGTGACTAAGATGCATCTGGAATTACTGGAAAATAAAACCAGGTAAATGTACTATTTAAAAACCATCATTTCAAACTAAGATGAATATTTTCAATCAATACCTGTATATCTTGATTTAGCTTTCTGTAATTGCATCATTTGCTTCTTGGTAACTTTTAGGATACCTTCCATGGGCAATGTTTCCAGCTGAAAAACATTACAAACTGGTTGTACCTCATATTTAAAGTATGCAAAAAAAAAAAAGGATACATACTGTCTGCTTAAAAATAAAAATATTCTACTGAGTAAATAGATAAATCTTTAAGTCAATCAAACATCATACTTTGTTCCATATTTTAAAGTTAGCAAATGCAACTTGAACTCAATACTTTTAGTTATTAGGCAAAAATTCATAAATATGTGTGTATACACACACACACACACCCCACTATAAATTATTATTATTATTATTTTTAATAACATGGTTCACTCTTTTTTTTTCTTTTTTTTTAAGAGAGAGAGAGAGAGAGAGAGAGAATTTTTTTAGTATTTATTTTTTAGTTTTCAGCGGACACAACATATTTGTTTGTACGTGGTGCTGAGGCTCGAACCCGGGCGGCACGCATGCCAGGCGAGCGCGCTACCGCTTGAGCCACATCCCCAGCCCCCCCACTATAAATTAAAGCGGAAAGGTTATTTCTTTTAAGTAGGCCTCCTCTCCCCATGTCAATGTTTTCCAATTCATACCTTTCCACTCTTCCAGGAGCCTGCTAGTCCAATATTCTCTTCGCCTTCGATTTCCCAGTCCTAGTGATAAGTAACAGACAGAGGTGAGCAATAGGAACATGAGGTTAAGGCTATAATTCTATAGACTGTGTCCATTGTGCTGACCCTCACAGCTGTCTTTAAAAAGCAATTTACCTGCAGCTTTGACTGGCTTAAGTCTATAGGATATATTACATTCCTCAGCAAACAACCTGTTGTCTGCAGGAGAAATGCAGCCATCAACTGCCAATAAGAACACTAAGGACCCTGAAGGAGGGGGTCTTCTGTGACCCTTACAAAAACTGATTTCCAAAACTCCGGGGCATAAGGATAATCCCCACCAATCATAAAATCTATAAGAGCAGTTTCTATTAGAATCCACCAGCATGGGCTAAAGTGACTTAGAGTGGCCTTAGATATTTACTTGAAAGTCTGATGCCATACTGTGGTCAGTCAAAAGCCAAGAGGAGGACCTATATGGGACTCTGGAAACTTCCTTGGGATTCTCCAATAAAACTGGAGGACAAGAAGGGCAAGAGGTCCTTCTCCTCTCTGAAATGACCCCTCTTTCCCTTGAATGTCCACCTTTCCCTTTTTCTATTCCTTCTAATAAACTCATGTCTGCTATTCAGAGCAACATCTGAAATCTTTGTGGAGCGACCACAAGAACCAATGAGAGGGGCCCTCAGACTGCCTGGGTTCTGTGACAGGTCCTTCCTCTGAACATCAGGGGTGGCTGATGAACAGGTTTCTATAAAACAAAATCAAACCCAGGTGTTAGAAGAACTCTTTTCCTAACCCTATACGTAAGGCTAGAAACCCTTTCAGGTCAGAAACCTTTTTGTGAGGAAAAAGCCCTTCTGGTGAAAAAGAGGGGTGGGTTGTAGTTGTGGCAAATCGCATGGGGGCTCTAATTGAGAGGGACTCAGTTTGGGGAAGAGGTGGTGCGTGGCTCCTGAACCCTCCCACCGGTCCCCACCCACGTCCCCAATTGCTGAGCCGGACGCCCGCGGAGACTTTGGGCCGGGCCCCAGCCTGGCTGTACAGCCACAAACCTGGCCTCCCGGCCTCCCCGCATCCCAGCACCCGGGTCCGCGGACACATCCTTTCCGACCACCTGCGGCGGAGTCTACGGTAACCTCGGTGGCGGTTCACAGGCTGAGCTATTTGGGGAGCCCCGTAAGGCCACAGCTCCGCAGCCCCAGCATTCTGACCTCTGCTTCTGGGGTTGCCTTGCGCCCCGCCTGGCTAGTGCCCGCTCAGCCAATGAACGGAGGGTGGAACCGGGTTTGCTCTTCGCGGGCACCGAGACCCTGGCTCTGGGTGGCAAACTCGGAGTGTGTGGGTCTTGTGGCTGCCGTATATTGGCAATGGGAACATGGGGAGACTACCCCCTCGATGCATTGGTTTCCCATCTGCAAAAGCTTGTCAGGGTGATGAGAATCGATGCCGGAGGACAGGTAAACCTGGACAGGTGCTCCTGTCCCCTTGCCCTGAGGGGACGGCCTCCAAGGGCCTGCCAGGCAGATGGCTGCTGGCCAGGGTTTTTAGGCATATGATTGTTCCAAGCGTGGTGCTCCATGCCTTCTAACTTCCACAGGAGAGAAACTTTGATACTTTTCTGAGTCTGACTTATTTCTCTCAATATTATGATCTCTAGTTCCATCCATTTTCTTGCAGATGACATAGTTTCGTTTGTCCTTATGGCTGAGTAAAACTTCATTGTGAGTATGTATGTATACGCCGCATTTTCTTCACCCTCTCATCTGTTCGTGGACACCTCGGCTGATTTCAAATCTCGGCTTTTGTGAACAGAGCTGCAGTAAACGTGGAGTGCAGGTATATATTTGACATACTGGTTTTATTTTCTTTAGATATGTACCCAGCAGTGGGATTGCTGGATCATATGATAGTTCTATTTTAATTTTTGAGGGACCCCCCCATTACTGTTTTCCATAAGGACTACACTCATTTACATTCTCATCAACAATGTGTAAAGGATTCCCCCCCCCCATATGCTTATCAACATTTGTTATCTTTAGTCATTTTTAATAGCTATTTTAAAAAATTTTTATTTGTTCTAATTAGTTATATATGACAGTAGAATGCATTTTGACACATCGACATACGTGGAGTATAACTTATTATTCTTCTGGTTTTACCTGATGTAGAGTTACACAGGTCATGTAATCATATATGCAGATAGAGTAATAATGTCCGATTCATTCTACTATCATTCCTTCCCCCAAGCCCCTTTTAATAACCATTCTTTTTAAAAAAATATTTATTCATTTATTTTTTAGTTGTACCCAATACCTTTATTTTGTTTATTTATTTTTATGTGGTGTTGAGGCTCAGACCCAGGGCCTTGCACTTGCTAGGCAAGTGCTCTACCACTGAGCCACAACCCCAGCCCTTAATAACCATTTTTAATGACGTGAGGGGATAGCTCATTGTGGTTTTGATTTGCATATCCCTGATGATTAGTGTTGTCAGACCTTTTTAAAATACCTGTTGGCCATACTTAAATCCTCTTTTAAGAAATGTCTATTCATGTCATTCGCCTGATTTTAAATTGAGCTATTTGTTTTCTTGATCTTAAGTTGTTTTTCTTTTGAATTTAATCTCCTATCATATATATTGTTGGTAAATATTTTCTTCCATTGTATAGATCATGTCTTCATTCTGCTGTTTTCTTTTCTTTTCCTTTGCTGTACAGAAACTTGTTGGTTTGATATTCTGTTTGTTTTTGCTTTTAACCCCTGTACTTTGGAGTTGTTTTTTTTTTTTTAATCATTGGCTATAATAATGTATTGAGATGTTTCTTCTATATTTTCTACATTTCAGATCTTATTTAGGTCTTCAATCTATTTTGAGTTGATTTTGTTTGTTGATGGTGAGCCTAGAGGTCTAGTTTCATTCATCTGCATATAGCTGGTTTTCTCACATCATTTATTGAACACTACTTTGACACCTTTGTCAAAAATTGGTGGGTTATAGATGTGTGGTTTCAAACGGTAGGGTAGGCTGGAAGTGGTGGCACATGCCTTTAATCCCAGTGACTCAGGAAGCTGAGGCAGGTTCAAGGCCAGGATCCCAAGTTTGAGGGCAGCCTCAGCAATTTAGTGAGAACCTTAGCAACTTAGCGAGACACTGATGAAAAAAAAAATACTGGGGATGCAGCATAGTGGTAAAGTGTACCTGAGTTCAATTCTCAGTGAGGTAGAGGGGAGAGAAAAGGTAGTAAAAAGGGAAGTTAGATAAAGAGTACTAAAATACAGTTAAATAGGAGGAATAGATTCTATAATATTCTATACCATGGAAGGGTAGTATAGTCAACAATTGTTATGTATTTTATAGATATCTAGAAGAGAGGAGTTTGAAGTCTCCTAACACAGAGAAATGTTAAATACTTGAGGAGATGGACATGCTAATTACCCTAATTTGGTCATTATACATGTTATACTGTATCAAATTATCACACTATACCCCATAAGTACGCACAATTATTACATGCCAATTAAAACTTTAAAAAATATAGGTTCCCTGGGTCTTTGGAACTGAATATCTGAAGTTTCTTGTATCATTTAAAACTTATATTATATAAATTTGTTATGCAGTTTCAGCCAAAAACCATGTGACAGGTAAGGAAAGGACATAAATTTTTCTCTCCTACTCCAGAAGAGTTAGAAAACTTCTTAACAAAAGAGATTAAGACAATTCATTCTTTTTGTTTTAGCTTTAGAATCTGTGAGAGGTGTTACTTTGACCCTTAGGACTCTAAAGCACAAAATAATAGTTGATTCTATAGAATAAAGAAGCTAAAATGGATTGTAGTTTATGTATAAACTTCAAATGGAGTACATGAATAAGATTTAAAACCAAAATATTATTTGGGCTACCAAAAGTAAATGTTTACCCAGATTTTCAGGGATTCTAGTGTTTTAATCAATGATGTATTTATAAAATCAGTTGCTAACACTTTAACACATTGCAAAGCAATGATAAGTCAAGCAAATTTTCACTCGTCAGTTCCTAATAATGAAAAGAGATTATACCACCTATCATAATTTGATGACAACTTGTATTTTTTACAGCCCATCATAATAATATTCTGCGAATATTTATTAAAGGTAAAAAATGAAAAACTTCCTGGAAATATAAATAATAAAAACAGTAAAATACTATAAAGTGATATACCAAACATTTTCACATATTTATTTCCTTTTTTACTGTGTATATTTTCATAGTCCATGTGCTGATTTATGATGCAGCCACAACAATGTTTATAGCAGCTCAATTCACAATCGCTAAACTGTGGAACCAACCATGGTGCCCTGCAACAGATGAATGGATAAAGAAAATATTTCATATATATATATATAATATTATACACACACACACACATGGAATATTACTCAGCCTTAAAGAGGAATGAAATGATGGCATTTGCCAATAAATGGATGGAACTGGAGAATATCATGCTAAGTGAAATACACCAATCCCAAAGAATGAAAGGCTGAACATTTTCTCTTATATGTGAATGCTAATTCACAACAAAGGGTGGGGCTATAAAAGAATAGAGTTACTTTGGATTAGATAAAGAGGAGTGAAAGGAAGGAAGGGGATATTGGGGTAAGGAAAGTAGAATAAATCGGACATTATTGCCCTATATGCATATATGATTACACAACCATTGTAATTCTACATCATGTACAACCAGAAAAATGAGAAGTCATACTCCATTTGTGTATGATGTGTAAAAATGCATTCTACTGTCATCTATAACTAATTTGAACAAATAAAAAAATAAATCATTGCAGTAAATATTTTGGTGAAAAACAGTTTTGAAGTTGACGATTATGAAGTCCACTAATTTCCTATTTTACACGAACGCTTAAAAATTCCATCATTAAAACGTGTAATTAAATACAAAATTGCTGCTCAATAAAAATGCACAAAATTCTTTGATTTCAATGTCTTAAATTAGGGATCAGGAAAATTTTTCTGTAAAGGGAGAGATGTCAAATATTTTAGGCTTTGTAGGCTGGTAGGAAAAATTAAGGATGTTTTATAATAGTCCTTACATAATGGGATAGGAAACACATTTTTATTAAATTAAAAATAAGAATAATAATGATTGACTACTATTTTTTGTAATAGAGGCCTACTAATGATTATAATCGAATTCCTATTTTGTAAAGAAGTGTAAAACTATCTTAATTAGTGTTTATAGTTAAGTGTTCTTTATCATCTATGATCTATTGAAATTATCCATCTGTTAATGATGACCAGCAATGAAATTTTATGCATTTCATGTTTTTTAAAAAATATTTTTTAATTATAGACGGATGCAATATCTTTATTTTGTTTATTCATTTTTATGTGGTGCTGAGGATCAAACCCAATGCCTCACATGTGCGAGGCAAGCGCTCTGCTCCTGAACCACAACTCCAGCCCTGCATTTCATATTTTAAAATGTCTTTTTATTCAAGATATATACTGCCATATAATAATATCAACCCATGAATACTGCCATTTTCATTGTTATAATACAGATAACATTTTGAATTTGCCATCTTAACCACTTTTAGGTGGACAGTTCAGTAATCTTAAGTATATTTCTATTGTTGTGTAAAAGAGCTCTAGAACTTTTTCATCTTGTAACACTGAAGGTTTTCATGGAGTGGTCTGCCCCTTCTCACCCCTTCTGCGAGGGAATCTAGATGGCCTCATCTGTGAGGAAGGAACAAGCCCTCACCAAACCCAAACCGGTGGGTGCTTTGATCTTGGACTTCCCAGCCTTCAGAAATGTAAGAAATAAATGTCTTCTTTCATAATTTATCTAGTCTATGACTTTATTATAGCAGCACAAATGGACACATGAATTTGAAAGTCTCATTCTGTATTGATAGTATAACTAAAATTACAAGCTACCAATCAAAGTTGTCCAGCTTTAAATATAGTGCATGGTTATAGCACCTCACAAAGTCAAGTATTCCTTCTTAGAATCCTAGTAACAGAGATTGATGTGAGTAAACAGATGATGAATTAAAATGATTCATTTGAAGATGAGTTATTTTGTATTCATTAAGACCTTTGTTTTCTCCATCTTTGTGTCTTAATACCTCTGTCTTTTCTTTGTGTGTGTGTGGGGGGGTGGGAACCAGGGATTGAACTTAGGGGTACTTGGCCACTGAGCCACCTCCCTAGTCCTATTTTGTATTTTATTTAGAGACAGGGTCTTAACTGAGTTGCTTAGTACTCACTTTTTGCTGAAGCTGGCTTTGAACTCACAATCCTCCTGTCTCAGCCTCCCAAGCTACTGGGATTACAGACATGTGCCACATGCCTTGCTCTTTTCTACTTTTGATATTGGTCAATTTCATATGCATGATTCTCTGAGATACTCTGGTTTGGGGACTGAATTACAATAGGTAAAATTCTTTGTCCCTATAAAGACTATTCCTGGTGAGATATTTTTTACTATGGGAAATTCTTTAAAATTTGATTTTCCTTTTTTTTTTTTTTTTTTTTTTTGTGAAATGAGGGAATGAGAGAGCAGAGAACCAAGAATGGATTGAATATCAGCACACTTGATAGTAAGGCAGAAGCTTCCATCTTTCTAATAGGGAACACTGGGTATCTCTGCCACTGGAATTGCAAGTTGCGTCAATATAATAGTACATAAACTTGGATTCATAATGAATGTACACTAGCTACACAGATGTCAGGAGCAGCATACTACATTTTGGGCTGTAAGAGCAACACTAATTTAATATTGTCTCTCTAAATGAACAATATCCAGGTGGCAATGAATCCCATGTTAAGGGTGAATATTTGAAAGGTATGAAACAAATGGTAGAGTAATCATCTTTTCTTTCTGTGCACATTTTGTACCAAACTTGACCTAACCTGTGTCTGATAATGATCTTCGTGTACTTCTTGCCGTAAAAGGACATCTAGCTGGGCACAGTGGCGCACGCCTATAATCTCAGCAGCTCGGGAGGCTGAGGCAGGAGGATCGACAGTTCAAAGCCAGCCTCAGCAAAAGTGAGGCATTAAGCGACAGTGAGACCCTGTCTCTAAATAAAATACAAAATATGGCTGAGGAGTGGTTCCGTGGTAGAATACCCCTGAGTTTAATCCCTAGTACCGCCCACCCACCAAAGAAAAGGTCATCTGTAGAAAGGTATTTTAATTTCTCAGAATACATTTAGTCCTCTGTATTCAGGTTCTACATCCACAGAGTCAAACAACTGCAGAATAATAATAATAATAATAATAATAATAATAAAAAATAATTATTTGTACTGAACATGTACAGCTTTTCCTATTGTTATTCCATAAGTTACATCTACTTACCTACCATTTACATTGTATTGCATATTATAAATGAACTAGAGATGATGTAAAGTGTACAGGAGGATGTGTATAGGTTATTTGCAAATACTACCCCATTTTATATAAGGGATTTGAGCATCCTTGGAGTTTGGTATTCATGGGGGTCCTGGAACCAATTCCTTGAGGATAGCAAGGGACAGCTGTAGCAGAAAACCTAAAACCCCTATGCAGTTCTGGCCAATGGTAGTGTCTACTGTGGTGTGCATTGTCTTTCAATAAATCTTATTGAAGTATGTTATAGGATATCACTGAAAAATAAACTTTTTCTTTACACATTTTAGGTCAATATTTTGTCTAACTCTTTTCATTCCTTTCATATATCATCAGTATATAAATATTCCTGCTCTATCTTGTTTTTTTTTTTTTTAATGTGCAGTGTTGGGGATGGAACCCAAGGCCTTATGCATACCAGGCAAGCACTCAACCACTGAGCTCTACTCCCAGCCCATGCCTCTTTTTTTTTTTTAAATGAGGGCTTATCTCTCTCAAACTTCCTGTCACCATAGAGACAAATCAAAGATCATATCTGACAAGTTGTCAGGTCTCTAATTTTACTATTCAAGCTAATTTCTAGGCTATAAGAAAGTGGTTTCCAATTCAGAGAAAATTTCCTACTATTGAAATATGGATAAGGAGCCTAGAAAATAATTCCATGCCACCTGTGGGCTCCCATGGGCTACTCTGATCTCTGCCCAGCCTTTTTTTAGTTATTCACTGTCGTGGGCAGTAAATGGTGGAGTCGCCATCTTCTGTTTCCATTCCATTTAGGTTCCAGCCTTACCACCAGACTCAGCCTGTATCTCAAAATCAGTAACCAAAGCTCCCAGTGGTCCCCATCGATGACTTGGTATTCTGGTTCTTGGCTTGACTTGTTTCTTTTAATTCTGACTTCCTGTGATTCCATGTGAAGGCACATGGGTAAGCTTTCACTACCATCTGTTCCTATTCCTTGGAATGGTTCATGCCTGATTTTGATTTGTGTCCTGTTTCACAGGTTGACAATTCTCTTTTGGTATCCAAAGAAGGAAGAAAATCATATATATCCTTTGCACCAAAATCCACCATTTTCAAAGTACACTTACAGAACTCAGACTTATGCAGTTGAATGATTAAGAGTGAAGTGTTTTAAAACTAGTATCTGTAACTAGGCATTATAGGGATTTTCATTTATGCAAATCATTAATCCTGTAATCATATCTAATGCAGCTGTCACCATTAGTGTGCCCCAGATGAGAATTTCACTAAGATTTTTTAATCATTTGATTGAAAATTTATATGCTACCAAGAAACAGAACATGATATTTTAATGGACAATGAGAAATGGGCATGAGTTAGTACAGTTATCCTTTTGCATCATTCTAGGAACTAAATGAACACTGTTTGATCCTTGAAGAATTAGAAAAATAAAAAAAATAAAAAGTTCACAACAAACACCAGGTTTGCCTTATATGGTTAACTTTATAAAAACTGCTATCTTGTCCTAGCCAGGAAGTAATTATTTCTGTCTCTTGGAGCCTCCATTTTCACCCAGATATCCAAAAATGAACTGTATTGAAAGCTGAACATGGTGCTATGCCAGGCACCGATACAGAGATATGCTTAAAGCATGGTCCTTATTGAGAGAAGGAAAAACATCCAAGGGAAAGGAAGTAGCATGGTCACAGAGTTTTGCTTCTGTGTCTGGACTGTGCTCACTACGTTTGGGAGTTGGGTTATTACTGGTGCTCTTTGCAAACATAATTTTAGGACAGTGGTGGGGGAATGTGGGGGCAGTGAATAAAGGGTTTTGAAAAATCTGGATATAAATATTAAGAGACATGGGATAATGTTGTGAAGTACACAGGACCAAGTGATCTTTCTAGAGTAGGAGAGTTTGTTTATAAGTTGAAGGCATAAGTGGTCAAGGAGAGTAACTGTATTAGTCAGCTTTATGTCACTATAAAAAATACCTGAGATGATCACTTTATGAAGAGGAAAGGTTTGTTTTAGCTCACAGTTTTGGAGGTTTCAGTCCAAGGCCAGTTGCTTTTGGGCCTGTGGTAAGACAGCATACTATGGCAGTGGGGAACAGGGCAGATAAAAGCCATTATTTTCATAACTGGAAGCAAAAAAGAGGAAAGGGCTGGGGTCCCACTGTCCCCCTTCAAAGGCACACTTGCAATGACTGGAAGACTTTTCACTACTCCCCACCTCTTAAAGTCTCCACTACCTCCCAAGAGTGCCAAGATGGAGACAAAGCTTTTAGTTAACACCTGGGATAAAAACTAGCCAGGCATGATGGCACACGCCCTTAATTCCAGCAGATTGGGCAGCTTGGGATGCTGAGGCAAGAGGATCCCATGTTCAAAACCAGCTTTAGCAATTTAGTAAGACCCTAAGCAACTTAGAGAGACCCTGTCTCAATAAAAAAGAAAAAAAACCCAAACCCCACAAAACACCTGGGGACATGGCTCAGTAGTTAAGTGCCCTTGGATTTAATCTCCAGTATCCTCCCCCTCCAAAAAAAGAAAAAAAAAGAAAAGAAAAAGATATAAACTAGAGTGGTGACAACCAGGAAGCAAAAATAATAATACTAATAATTGATGGGACAGCATTTTGAGGGTTTGAGGGTTTGAAAGGATGGACAGGAGCATAAGTTTAGGAAATCGCTTTTATTGTAGAAAGATACCTCATCCTTTGAATCAGCATAAGTGTGCTAAAGATAGATGTGGTGTGATGTGCAGGAGAGCTACTAAGTACAGTGAGCTCTCTGCATCTGGGAGTTCTGCTTCTGAGGATTCAACTGACTACAGATGGAAAATATTCAGGAACAAAAACTGCCTGTGCTGAACTGGTACAGACTTGATTTTCTTGTCATTAATCCTAAACAACACAGTATAACAACTGTCTACAGAGCATTTGCATTGCATTAGGTTTTGAAGTAATCTAAGATGATTCAAAGTATATGGAAGATTGTATAGGTTTTATGAATATATATGCCATTTTATATAGGAGTCTTGAGCATCCAAAAATTTTTGGTGTCTAAGAAGGGTCCTGGAACTAATCCTGTAGGGATACTGATTAACTGTATCTTTTATGAAATGTCTTCTTCTTTTTCTTTGTTGTCTTAATTTTTAGTTTTTATTTTGTCTATTGTTCCTTTTAATTTTCAGATAACAAGGTCCCCCCCTTCTTCTCTCTATAAGTCTAATAATTTCAGAATGTCTATGACATTTCTATTTTCTCTGTTTTCCTAAGAGAAGCTTTTGCAGAGGGGAGGATGGAGTTGCACAATGTCTGCCATGTCCTCACTTTCACTTTGGAGGGAAGAAATTATGCACTGGCAGCTAAGGGGATTCAGCGGAGGCTTGAATACTGGGGAAGGTTTGTAATAATGATGTGTAGGATGGTAAAGGATATGGGCCACAGC